TATATATTAGTTTTTTATAACATTTCATTTTCTTGGCTTCTTCCAGTGGACAGTTTCCAATTTATTTTTTTGTTCCATGTTTATTGCGTGACAGTGAAAACAAAGAATAATTATTATTCTTACGTTAAAAGTCAACTGGAGCTTTGTGTCTCCATATTAAGGTAGTTAACAATATTTTGCTCTATCAGTGAGGACTTGTTTGTTCATGGGGACTTTGCTTTGGAACATGAAAGTTAATTTATTAAAGTGGCTACACAGTTTCTCCAAGTGTTAATGTGTGCAAACTGCATCGCAGCAAACTGCCTTCAGAGAAAGACTTCTCGACAATTTTTTGTGAACAAAGTCATTGCTCGTTCTTGCCAGTCAGAAGTCTCTCGAGGGAGATATAAAGGTACCGATGTACGTCTGTTTTTGTGTCTGCTTCTGCGGGCAAAATTAATTGTTTTGTTTATCACATACTCAGTCACTGGCAGTGTTGACCAAAATATGGCTTAGCTTTATTCTTCTTAGAACCACGGCATTAGAGAAACCTTTATTTTCAAATTCATAAAATTTTTAGATTTCACACATTTAGGATTTATTGATGAGAACAAAACAGATTGAAAAACCAAACCTGTTTGTGTTCCTTTGTTTCTTCAGCTCAAAGTCGAATCATTTTAAGTACATTTTTTTCTCGTCTGTTTCAAGTGCATGTTAGTATTTTCATTGCAAAAGTGACTGTTGTATTTTAAAAATCCTAAACTAGAACAGATACTGCAGGTACAAATCAAACCAATTATTATCCACTTGTTCATAATGTTTTTGACAGTTGTCGAAAATAATTATTTTAAACAACATAGGTGACAAGCCCAGCAGTAAAATAAAAACGTTTTACTCACATTTTCTGAACCTAAATATTTAAAAAGTTTGCTAGAAAATTACTTCTTAGAAACCCCAGCATAACAAGGAATTTTGTTCAGAAGGTTTTCATATTGTTTGATCTTCAGGTTTTCCTTGTCTTGCTGGCACAAGTTTTTTTTTCTTGAGAGATCTTGCATGGCTTGCTTAGTGTGTGCATCACACACATTGTTATTGGGAAAAAAAACTGCAGTAAGCCACCTTAAGCCATCTTTTTTCAGACTGATTTAACTTAATTACAGTACAAGGAATGTATGCAGAGCTTCGGCCCATCTTGATGTTTATTCACCGAATGTACTTGTTCGGTTTATTTCAAAGGCATAAGATTTTTCATCCACTCGGTTAGAAAATGTCAACTGAGAATGTCCAGGTCAGTGAAAGGTATCCTTTAAGAGAAGTTTTATTTATCACTGGAAATTAACATTAAAGTTGCTTCAGGATATTACCATGTTTTGAGGATTTTGAGGCCATCTTTGCATTTTTATTGAACTCACACACCAACCACTCTTTTGTTAAATTTCTGGTTAGGCTTGTTATTTTTCTTAGTGACGATGAGCTGATCTTCCCTTTGTTGATGGAAACAATGATTTTTTAGGCCTGTTAGTTAGTTTTAAACCCACTGAAACATTAAAATGTTTACGATTTTCTTCGTTTTCAAGCAACTCAGCTGCAGTTTTCTCATGTTTGTTTGTGTTCCACCCAGAATTTGCCCCGCATTAGCATTGCTTTCACATGAAAACAAGCACTCATCCTAGGCTACCCGGGAATACGAAACTTGCCTGCATGTACTTGCTACCTATGATATGACATTTGTATGAATTGAATAGAGTAAAAGCCTGTGACTAAGAACCTGGATTTTAAAAACTTGTTAGGCTACACGTAAAATTTGCCAGTATCACCCCCTCTATATAAGAACCTGTTAGCCTAAAATTTGAAACATGTTCTTATTTTCTAAAAATAATGTATGAAAGAATTCTGTCCCCCTGGGCAAATAAGATACATTAAGTCAGAGTCCTCTTTGGAGGAAGGACCTCAAACTTCTTGACATCAATGCTTTAGGTCTTCTTAATTATTTATTCATTTTTACAAAACTTCTAATTTAGTATGCAGATTTTTTATGAGGAATAGGCTGAACCACTAAATACTCTTTGCTATATTGTATTTTTTTCCTTCAGAAAATAAGAACCTATTTAAGAACCTAAATAGCCTAAACTTTTGCTAACTACCATTCATTCAAAATAGCTCATACGCTGTATGTCAGTGGTTTGAGCATATGTAGCTTTGTGGCTTCGTGGCTTGTGTGTTTGGATGTCTGTCGCAGGGGCCAATGAGGTTGAGGGTACTATGAGTTGATGCTCAGGAATCAATGAGATTTTGGCATCTAAATATAACCTATTTGCTTAAGGTTAAACAAGGTTACTTTGAGATTGCCATCTTGATTCTTCACAATTTTTTCATCTGTTATTACAAAAGGTGTTTAGAAGCATAACATTGAAATATCTCCATGATTCAAACATTGACAACAGTGATGCAACTGTTTAAGGGTTCATAGGGTAGAGTGGGTGCTGCTTCAAGACATTTCTGACTCAATTTGGCTATTGCAAATGGTACAATGCACATGTTTCTTAATTTATGAGTGGCGTCCAATGAAACAGTAATTGAAATTTAGATATGGACAATGCACATATGGTGCATTTGGTTAAATTTATAGGAAATGTTGCCCAATTTTTTTTCGAGTGCTTATGTTACGCTACTTAGTACTACAGGATATAAAGTACTAAAGTATTCGTCCCAGATTCATATGGTCTACCTGGCCGCACAACAACAGAACAAACTTATACAATTTCCTGCTTGTGGTATTGTTGGTGTGCCTTTCACCTTAACTCTGCAAGACATCTATGGCTACAATCCCGCTCTGTTTTGAGTTCTTTCGGTGTCGTGTTGATGTCTTGCAGAGTTAGTTTTCATGTAGTACCATCAGCATTGCAGTATTCTGCTTGCAGAATTTAATATGTCTAGATTATTATTTTTGCTGATCAGGTCTTTATAGATCCTATGTTCTTCGGCATTTTTGTTTGCAGTCCTTTGCAGTCCTTTGTGGTTAATGATTGTACTTTAGAAAAACAAGCATTTATTAATGAGTTTGAGAAAGATAAGCCTTGACAGCTATTTTTTATGACAACAGGATTGATTGAATAAAGGAAGTTGCACTCCATGTCCTCAACGTGCAAGCAGTGTGGCAAGTGGTTTAGCCAAGCAGGATACCTTAGGAAACACAAAAGAGTTCACAGTGGGGAGAAGCCTTGTGAATGTAAACAGTGTGGGAAATGTTTTCGTGGTGCAGGAGACCTAAGGAAACATGGAAGAGTACACACCCGAGAGAAGCCTTATGAATGTATACAATGTGGCAAGTGTTTTAGCTTAGCACAACACTTAAAGTGTCATGAAAGGATTCACACTGGAGAGAAGCCTTATGAATGCAAACAGTGTGGCAAGTGTTTTGGCCAAGCAGGAAACCTAAAAATTCATGAAAGAGTTCACAGTGGGGAAAAACCATATGAATGTAAACAGTGTGGTATGTGTTGTCGCACATCAGGAGACCTAAAGTCTCATGAAAGGATTCACACTGGAGAGAAGCCTTATGAATGTAAACAATGTGGCAAGTGTTTAAGCTTAGCACAGCACTTAAGGAGGCATGCAAGAGTTCACACTGGGGAGAGGCCATATGAATGTAAACAGTGTGGTATGTGTTTTGGCCAAATAGGACACCTAAGGAGTCATGAAAGAGTTCACACTGGGGTGAAGCCTTATGAATGTAAACAGTGTGGGAAGCGTTTTGGCCAAGCAGTAGACCTAAGGACGCATGAAAGAGTTCACACTGGAGAGAAGCCTTATGAATGCAAACGGTGTGGCAAGTGTTTTGGCCAAGCAGGATACTTAAAAATTCATGCAAGAGTTCACACTAGAGAGAAGCCTTATGAATGCAAACAGTGTGGCAAGTCTTTTAGCCAAGCAGGATACCTAAAAATTCATGCAAGAGTTCACACTGGAGAGAAGCCTTATGAATGTCAAGAGTGTGCTAAGTGTTTTAGCACCTCAGTAGGTCTTAGGAGTCATGAAAAATTACACACTGGGGAGAGACCTTATGAATGTAAACATTGTGGCAAGTGTTTCAGTCAGTCAAGTTCCCTAAGGGTTCATGAAAGAGTGCACACGGGAGAGAAGCCATATGAGTGTAAACACTGTGGCAAGTGTTATAGGCGAACAGGACACTTAAGGATTCATGAAAGAATTCACACTGGAGAAAACCCATATGAATGTAAACAGTGTGGCAAGTGTTTTAATCAAAAAGGAAATCTTAGGAAACATGAAGAACTCCACAAGAAAGCAAAGTCTCCTAATCGTCACACCAAGGAGTGTCCTTCTAAAAGTTTTCGTCGTAAGCGTAAGCAAGCAGGAACTGAAAGACTGGATATTAGGACAAACAACTCACTGACCCAGAGCGAGACTGGATGCAGTGGTATGGTAGTCCCTCAATTAGCCATCACTGGGAAACACAGCTGTTGGATTTGTCAAGAGGAGATGGGAAGTGAGGATCTTCTTCATCGGCACTATGAAAATCATATGAGACATGTGCATGAAGATGGCTTGTAATGTCAAGAAACCTTTCGGTTTTTTCACGCCTTCTTTATTGTAAGTAATTTTTCAGTTCTTAACATGGTTTAACTCAGTGTTTTGGTAGACATATCTTACATCTTTGGATATCTTATACCTTAACAGGTACTAACACATAGATTACACATAAACTAAATTTTGACAGTGACGTCACAATGGCGACAGCTCTTAATCTAATTTCAGTCCTTATTCAAGTTTTCTTTGGAAATGCTCTGCGTGACTTGAAGTTTGGGTGCCTTTCCCTGCTGTGCGAAGGTTTTAAATAATCTATTTCGAGATATTGTTGAATTTCTACGTTAAGACTATTTTTATGCTTTAAAAATATAGTTGCTACTTCCTGGATGTTTCTGGAAAGTTTTAATTATTCTAACAAATTTTCCTTATACATTCTACAAACCAAAGTAAAGGAGTATTTTTGCCCAGGACCTGGTTGCTCAAATCAGGGTTAAGATAACCCAGGGTTACTGCCAAATATGTATTCAGATATGAAACTTGAAAAGCAAGTTCCGTCAAATTCGTTTTGTCAACAATTCGATGATCGGATGCTTTAAAAAGTAAAGAGGAAATTATCCAAGGAAATACTTTTAAACGTAAGAGAGAGAAACCCAGGTTAAAATTAGTAAACACTGATTTTCTTTGCATGGAGAGCACAATTCTTTGGTAGTCTTGTTATATTATTAACTAGAAGATACTAACTGCAAGCACAGTCGACTCTCTCTTAACGGACACCTCTTATATTACAAACACCTTTGTAAAATGGACACCTAGAGTTGGTCGCTGCCTTTCTTTACTCCTTTTAGTTGACTCTCTATAAGACAACCATTTCTCTAAGGTGTCTGTCTTAGAGAGGGTTGACTGTGTTATGCTGCAAGCAGATCCTGGGAGCAAAACATTAAAACGATGAACTGACATACAGATTTGGCCCATTAGAGATCCTTTTATTGCGTTAATTAATAGTTACGGGATAAAGGACTACAAGGAAGCCCTACAGTCACAAGTTTCTCGTGACCTGGGTCGTCATTGGCCAGTTTACAGTCATACTAAAATACATGTAGTAAGTAAATATGGTTTATTTAGCTTAAACCGAATTACAAAATACAAATTGTTTGCGCACGTCATATTTTGTGGAACTTAGCGCAATTAGAATGGCGTAATAGAGAGCTATGATTTCATGACACCGCTGTATATAATTGCCTAAAATCATCCTGACAAACATAAATCCAGGCCCTGGTTTTCCAAATAGTGTACAGCGTTATTCACTGGATTAATCAATATCCAGTGGCCACGTGTGGGGGAAACCAATTTTGTTATCCACTTGACAAAGATTTGTCCAGTAGCGCTATCCCCATGTTAAGAGGATAACAGTCGACTCTCTCTTAACGGACCCCACTATAATACAAACACCTCTAGTCTGTCAAACGGACACCCAGAGTTGGTCCCTGGCTTTCTTTACTCCCTTCATTTGACTTTCCAGAAGACAGCCATTTCTCTTAAGACGGACTCTTAGTGCCGGTCCTATAGGTGTCCTGTCCGTCTTATCGAGACTTTTTTGTCTATTTGCAAATTTATAAGAATGCTAATGATAATCGTACACCGTTTAGTAACAAGATAGGCTACGCAGCCAAACTCGTACAGCCTATGTAATGAGCGCCAAAATGCCGGCTGAAAGGCCTCTTTGACATAAGGTTTTTAAAACGTGAAGAAATGATGGTAGTGGTGAGCAACGTCCCCACAACGCCGTCCAATTACGCAATCATAGAAACAGAGTCTCGGTCTTAATCACTACAAACATGATCATCTAGTTTTTTAATGTCCCTTGTTGTTGGTCGGGGGTGGAGGTGGGGTGGGGTGGGGTGTGAACTTGCTACCTTTCGATCAGCATACCGTGCGTCTACAATAATTCAAATTATAGACGATTATTATGCGATTTCACAGCAATTTCTTTACGGTGTTTTTGCCACTTTTTAAATGAAAGCTTTGATATAGACTGGTAGCGAGTTTTTTGCTGCGTTAAGAGATGCACAATTTTTCTTAGACGAAGTCTGTTTGGAGATGTGTTTTCTAGAAAACATAGGATTGCCCTCTCAACTGCCAAATCTTTCTCTAGTCGTTAATTGATTTGTGGGCGTAAGGCTGATGGACGTAATAACATTTTACTTGTGGTCGCTATTATCCATTCCAGCAGGCAAAAAACTCTCTACTTTTCGTGGATGTGTTTGACCGCACTATCCAACAAAAGATGAGCTGAGTTCGCAAATAGTAATAAAAGTTATTTTTGTAGTGTTTTCATGTGCTGTTCCAGTATTAAGGAAGCTGACCTAACATTTCAATTAAGTTCATAGTTTTGAAACTTTGTATTGTAATAAATTACAGTGTGTTTTCTTGTACGGTTTATATGATCTGTTCTTTTGTTCTTGGTTCCTCTAATTTTCTTTCATCCTAGTGAATTAATAACCCCAGCTGAAATTGTTAATACGTCTAAAAGGAAGGACTGCAAGAGTGAAGTTTCGAAGTTTTAGCTCAGAACCTCCAGAAAGTTGGATTAGAGGTGGTGATTTGTGACAAGTACTCTAAGTCTAGAATTTTCTATCCGCGACGCAGGTCTGATTTCAGTATTTGTATAAGGTCAAAGCTCACCTAGACAGAACGGGGGTTTACCGTTCTCACACGGCACAGAACAACTAGAATTGCCCTTGTAAAAGCAACTCAGAACAGATCCAGTGTGGCAGCTGATGAGGTTCGCCGTTCGCATGGACAACAGAAACCATGGTCTTGCCCTGAGCATAAGTGGCAATAACAGAACATTCCCAGACTGTTAAGCTTATTCAAAATTTATTACCAATTAATCGTTACTTAAACTGAGAGCAATCAATCCCAAGCGGGGTGGGGGGAGTATTCCCTATAATGGCCTATACGGGAAGGTTCCGCCCGAAAGGGGTACCTTTTTCAAGCTTCAGGTATATGAAAGAGTAGGCATTTTACTCGTTGAAGTATACGAAAGGGTAGGGATACAGTAAAAACCCGCCTAAAAGAACACGTCTTTTTGGGGCTTCAGGCTGATTTTGTTCTCTTAACGTCTGTCTTTGTAATAGCGCTGTACTAATTAGGACTTCACGCCTCGACGACACCAGTTTTTGGTTTTCAAGTATTGTTATAAAATTACTAATGATAAAATTGATAGTGTGCTATAAAGTTATCTGTTCTGAATAGTTTTATAAATATGAAAATAATGATGTTCTTCAAACACTATCAACAGAAAATTGATTCAATAACCAAAAAACGATTTTGCTATGTTATTCTGGCTTGATAAGCAATGAAGACTTGCATGCATAAAATCGAGATCATGCCTTAACAAGCCTCTACAATATAGGTTTTCTTATGTGGACAAATGGGGGTGTGGAGGCGAAAAAGCGTAAGAGGAGGAGAGGAGAAACGGAAACGGGTTGCTCAAGCTTTTTCTTTTAGCCTTGTCCCGAAAGAAAGGTCTGATCACAAGATGAACTTTTTATATAAAATGACGAGATCCAAATTCACCTGTTTTATTAGGGAGTTACGGCTACGAAAACGTCACTTAACAAGTGAATTTGCGCTGCCTCAAAGTTTATCGCGCTTATTCCACCTCGTTTAATTCGTCAAATGTTGGCAAGTTTTTTGTGAAGTTGAATTTTAATGAACTGCATCAAAGTTCAGGAAATGAAAAAGAAAGTTGTTGTCTTTTTTTCCCGTCCTCGACAAAACGTGAAATTTGGCAGTTTCACGTTGTAGTCGTGCAATGACGGTAGAGAAATGTGCAAAAAAGCGTGATGCTCTTGCAAAGTTGTTTTTTTTTGCCAATCTAAACCTCTCGCTTTTTTGCCGTTCCTGTTGCCGTCGCCGTCGTCGTAGGGAGTTTACGCAACGACGACGGCGACGGCAACGAAAACGGCAAAAAAGCGATAGGTTTAGATTGGTCAAACAGCACCTTGTGCATCATGCTTTTCTTGTACACTTCTTGCCGTCGTTGCACGACTACAACGTGAAAGTGCCAAATTTCACGTTTTGTCGAGGACGGGAAAAAAAGACAACAACCTTCTTTTTCGTTTCCTGAACTTTGATACATACAGTCCTCTAGAATTCAACTCAAAAAAGGGTTTGCCAAAATTTGACGAAGTAAACGAGATGAAATAAGCGCGATAAAGTTTGAAGCAGCACGAATTCACTTGTTAAGTGACGTTTTCGTAGCCGTCGCCGTCGTTGTTGTTTACGCTCCCTATTAACCCTTCTATGACGACTAAATCTGACGTAATTAAACAGTTTTTTAGTCTTCACGCATTCGCAAAAGCCAAATTTAGAATTGCGAATCTATTTTGATCTTTCTCTCTCGCTCTCTTTTTTTCCTTCTTTTTCTTCTTTATTGGCGGTTTTGTTGCCCACTTTATCGTCTTTCTTTTGCATGGAATTGCGGCGGGCTATAACTTTTTAGCAAAGGGACAATTTTAATTTTCAAGAGTAGTACGTAAACAGCGAAATTGGCAGTGGATTTTCCCCCAAAACGTTACCTTTTTTGTGAGTGTAACTCTGTCAGGATGGGGCAGAATGTCCAAAACTAGGTATCGCTGGAAAGATCTATCTTTGGTGACGTTGTTGCTTACCAATTTATTAGCTTAAACGGAAAGCTTTATTGGTCCAGGAAGGAAGATATGCATTGTTTCACAGGGTTAAATTAAAGACAAAAATATAAACATAACCAAACAAGGTCGCTTTAAGTTAAATTTTATCCTCGTAGTTGTCATGGTCCTTGAAGTATAGCTCTCCAATAACTTCTTACAACATAGTCACACCAACGTAGCTTACTCTCAGTAAACTCTAGCTATGAAAAGTTACTTTCCAAAACTCTGTCTATTGGTTTGGCACTCGAGCGCGACTTCCTATTCCGATTAGTTTCGACGTTAACTCGGTCCTCGGGGGCAAAAATGTTTGGAATCAAGTGGGCGGAGCGT